TGCTGACCTGCAATGAATTTATTTCATAGGAAATTCTGAAATCCAGTGATTTATGACAAGACTAAAAACTAATTTTGAAATTTCAGAATTTGTCATGAAATTTCATAGACATTATTTCATAGACACTAGGGCTGGAAGGAACCTTGAAGATCATCAAGTCTAGCCCCCAAATGGAATGGCAAGTGCCCGATCAGCTTGAATATAATCAAAGGGAACTTAAGTTTTCTCACTTGTGAACCTAGGGCTGAAATTATTCTTAGGAAGAACATGGAAGCAAGAAAAGACAGTCATGTATAATATTTAGTAGCAGAATTATTTGTTTGCATTGAATGAGACATGATGGGTGGGGGAGGGGGCAGCTTGGGAGGAAACAGAGGAAGACTTAACTTTTATTTATTCAAATGCATTCACTGAGAATTAAAATGGAGATTGAGTAGAAAAGGATTTTTAGAGGAAGAGAACTATTGTACTTCCAGTGAGTCATGTCATTGTGATAGTGTTTTATGCTGTAGAGCAGTCATTTTATAGATGAATAACTGAACTGCACTCCTGCATTTTGATGTGCTTAGTACCTGTTCTTGTATTACAAAATTGTGTGGTACACAGCTTGACACTTGGAAGAGAAGCATTAAACTGGACTTGTTACAAATAATTTAAGTGGCTTTTCCAGTATGAATGTGATAGATGCAGCAGAGTGAGTAAATACTGTACAAGTTGCCACATGGCTGATCTATTGGAATGAAAACAACAAGCACGTTGTACTTAATTTTAATGGGCAAATCCTATGCACTCACGTGGAAAATACAGTAAGTAAACTGGCGTCATTCGAAGCACGTAAAGCTTACATGGCAGACAGAAATGGAAGATGTGGAGGCTGTGGGGCATTTGGGTGAACTTTCTTCTCAGAAGCATCTGGCATCCATCCAGTAAATATAATGGCTTTACAGGAAAAATATAATGGTATTTTAGGTCATCTTAAGGAGGCCGCTAATGATTTCCATTCAGCTAAATGACAAGAGACAGATCAAAATAAAGACATCATTGCTACAGCAAACATATTGTGGAACTTACAATGGTATTAAGTAGTATTCGGAAGTAAAATATGAAACAAATAAAACATGTAAGTATAACGGTTGCAAGAGATGATAAATGCATCAAAAGAAACTTAAAATATGCATATCATTATTGCAGTGGTAGCTGTTGTTACAGCAATGCGTAAGAGCAGCCATCAGAGCACCAGAAGCTAGGTATTAAGAGCTAAAAAGCAACTCAGAATCAGGTGTAGATGGAATTTCTTAATTTTTCATAACTTTATGGGTACTTCAATTCAATATATTCATTATTTCATTACATTCTGTTTATAAATTTATATTAGCAGACTAAAATGCAGTATGGTTCTTGTAATAGTGATTTTGAGCATCACTCTATATAAGTTATCAGAGGAGGGAACATAATTTCTTTCATTTTAAAAGAAACATACTTAGAAAACCTAATTATTCTTCTGGAATGTTTAATTAATTAAAGAAAACTGTATGCACCCTTAAATGAATGCTGTATGCATAGATCATATATACTGGTGGTACTGACTGTCTAGCAGATTTTTAATGAAGTTTTGAAATACAGGGAGTTATACATATCCTTTAAAATATGCACGGAAAATGAACTTGTAATTCTCAAAGCTGATCTCTGGATGTCACCATAGCTACATAGAGTTAGATCTAAAAGGGTATCTATCTGGAAGAAATGTGATTCTCAAAGAAGAAAAACAGAAAGATGGGTGGCTGGAAAAAAAAAAAAGCTTGAAAATCCTATGGATACTACAGCATAGATCACCCAGAACAAGCCATTAGCTTATAATTAAACAATTTAGGTGCCAATTTAGAAACAAGAGATGGCATTGTATGTTGTATTTCCATACCATAAAACTTTGAGAAGTTATTTAAAAATACCAAAGGAATTTGGAGCATAGATCCTACTGATTGTATCCTTGTAGAAGTAATATGAAAAGTAATAGAACGGACACAATACAACTTCCCTTTTCTATGTCAGTATTCTAAAATGTATAAAAAATATATTAAAATATATCCTTAGAGAACTCAGTTTGGAACCTACAACCCACACCTTTTTTGTAAAAAAAAAAAATGGTTTTTCTTCTAACTACTCCTGAGAGAGTCCATGGGCCAGGTGATTTCAGTTTAGGCTAAGAACCAGCAAGAACTACATTGTATTCCACGTTCTGGCAGTGGGTCATGGAAGAGGCTGGAGCAAATCACTTCCTCTCCGTGCTTCAGTTTCCTCAGCTATAACAGAAAATAACTCTGAATGACTTCACAGGAATGTTGTGAACGTTACATGGTTGATATTCGTCTAAGGTTTTGAAAACAAAAAAATGGTCCATAGATGCTAACTTCCTACAAACAGTTTCCATTGCTTTTCAGTGACGCCAAATAGTCTAATAAGATCAGACAATCCAGTCTGATCTGGGTGGGGATTGTTTTGTGCTTTTCTCTTCTTAGAGAGAAGCTGCTGCTCTATAAGTACTTTGGAAGAGCTGCGCTCCCACTGCTTATTCAGTCTCACTCATTGAGGTCTCTGTGTTGTAAATGTGATCTCATGGGTCAGATCCATCCCATGGAGCCATGTCATCCAGCCCCTGGTGCTGGCTTTGAGTCATTAGTTGACCCACACGTGATATATGGGGGGGAGGAGAGATGGGCTTAATCTGGCCTGCAGGGCTGATCCTGTGTCATTCATCTGGCCTGGGGACCTACACCACTTCTCTGGCCTGCAGGCCCAAACAAGTTTGACACCTCTGCTTTAGGGCAGGAGGATAAGATTCAGTTTGAGACGGTAACATATTTTCTAGTGTCCTACGTTTACAAGAACACTAAAAATGGACACTAGAGAGGAACCTAGAAAGTTCACTTAAATTTAAATGCTGAGGACAAGATTTCCTTATGGGGAACAAGAATTTTGTGATATCCTATATATCTATAGATTAACAAGAGATGATCATTGTTATAATGTCATATATTTTTCTATGAAAACTATAAGAACAGAAATGACATATAAATTGGTAAAAGTGATCAGAAACTGGTTCACATCTGTAACAACAGAAGTTCAGTGCACAGAAACTGCTTTCAAAATGGCCAAAACCAGTTTAAGATAAATCTGGATGGGTTTACTTAACGGATTTAGATTAAATCAGTTTTTTGTATTTCTGTCCCAGATCCCCTCCAGATTCAAGTTAACTCACAGTGCCCCAGCATCCCAGGAGGCTTTGCACCTGCCCTGCAAACTTCCCTTGTAGGGTGAGTGGACAAGCTTTGGCCCAGATGCTTGCTCCAGCAGAG